TGTTTTTTTTTTTTTTTTTTTTTTTGTAGATAAGCAGAAACGTCAAGGAGAAAAACAGTTCAGTGCGTTCTTCGTCGACGGGAAGGCCATCAACGTTTGGTAAATCAATAGCTCCGAGTTCATCTCCGCTTTGGATGCCACATAAGGCTTCGTTGAGACCTCAACGAGATACAAGGTGAAGAAAAGATATATACTCACTTTGCATAGTGCGGATTTTTCAAAACAAGTTTTTTTCATTAGTATACTATGATGTTGTGCATAATTTTTATAAGTTTAAGCAACGTTTTCAGACGCTATGGTGAAGTGCCAATAGTGAATTCGAGAGATAAGGGGTATCAGCGGGAAGCTTCAGCTCTTCGTGATGAAGTAAGTTCTCTCTCCCATTTTAAACTCTGGCTTGGAGTTAATAAAAATAATATGTCAGGAGATTTTGACTTGAGGTTGACTATATGTATTAAATTGCAGCTGGATATGCTACAAGAGGAGAATGAGAATGTGTTGGAGAAGGTTCGATGTTTTTGTCTTACACAACTACTTAAGCTATTATCCTTTTTCATTCGTTAACAATTGTTCTGTATTTCAGCTTCACTGTGCGGAAGAAAAACGTGAGGCAGCAGAAGCCAGGGCTAGGGAGCTTGAGAAACAGGTTTTGATTTAGTGTTCATTTACAACTTCCTCACATCTATATCTTGACAATAGCAATCTCTTGTCTCTGTTCCTTGTTCTGCATCTTTACGTATGTGTAGTGAGGGTCAAAATGAAGTTACATACCCAGGTCAAAATGAAGTTACATACTTTAGAGACTGTAGACGATTTAGTAAAATTTTAACTATGTATATATTATTCTCTTTAAAAATTTTAGAAGGTATAGGACAATATTTCACTTGGCCCGGCCATGTACATAGCATCGTATAAGTTTCTGAGAGGTGGTGGAAACACATAGTGTGTTTGATTGACCAAACATATATGTAGATGCAATGTAGCTATACTCTGTTATCAGTATTATAATATATGATGACAAAACATGTGAAGAAGCAGACAAGTTTTGAGGCCATGCATACATGCAAATGCAATGAATTTTCCATGTCTAGGACAATTTGATTTCATGGAATCTTCTCTTGAAAGCAGTTTTTATTTCATTGTCCCAAAAGGTTGCTTTTCTTGGAGAAGGAGTGTCTCTGGAGGCCAAATTGTTAAGTAGGTGGGAAACCCAGTGAAATTCTTTTTCAATCTTTCTCTACTTTAGAAGATACGGTTGTAAGGTTCATGATGATGTTTATGTTTTTTCTTCAGGAAGGAAGCGGCGTTGCGCCAAAGAGAGGTTAGTGTATAGAGGAATAAAATATCTTTTCTCTTTTCTTTCGCCGAGCTCACATTTTGTACTATTGTGATGCCACGTTAAGTCAAAGATAGACATTTTTGAAGCATAGCCATTTAGACTTAATGACTGGCATAATGGTATCTTTTACAGGCTGCTCTTAAGGCTGCTAACGAGAAAGAAGATGAGAAAAAGGAGGAACTTGTCTCCCTCCGTTCAGAAATACAGGTAAAGTATTACAATAATACTCTGGTTTCATATTAGGTACTGTTTTGACCTGCATGATGAAATCACGTCTTTGTGTTCAGAACATGAAGGATGAGGCTGTAAAAGCTGCAGAACGGCTTCAAGAAGTAGAGTCAGAAGCAAATGATCTTCGTACAATGACTCAGCGAACTGTTTTAACACATGACGAAATGGTATGTTTATAAATCCCAAAACTCTCATTAATCTACACAGATTACTGATTGTATGGCAAAACATTGGATCATCTAGGAGGAAGTAGCCTTGAAGAGATGCTGGCTTGCCCGGTATTGGGGTTTGGCAGTGCAGCATGGTAAGTTATGCATCCATTTCTTAGTTCTCGTTGTGAACTTCTTGAACTTGACAATGTGTTATGGTGAGAGAGTTTATTCATTGATTCATGTGGATTCTGTAGGCATTTGTGCTGATATAGCACCATCCAGGCATGAGAAGTGGTCAGCTTTGGCTCCTCTTCCAGTTGAGCTGGTCATATCTGCAGCACAAAAGGCCAAAGAGTTGTCTGGAGATCAAGGCTAGTCTAAATATTTGCTAATACTTTACTAAAATGTCCCCTGATAATACTGTTGTTTGCTATCATCATTATTTACTAATCTTTGGAATTGACCAGGTGGGAGTGATCAGACCAAAACTGAAAGATTTTTGAGTGAACTAACTGGAGAAGGCAATATCGAAAGTATGCTTTCAGTTGAGATGGGTTTGAGGGAGCTAGCATCCTTAAAGGTAATCTACCCTTGTGTTCCACATTTATGTTTGTTCTTTGCGATCTCCAAGTACTAACTTTTTACATCATAATATGACAATGAAATTTAGGTTGAGGAGGCAGTTATGCTTGCATTCTCCCAGATGAGAACACCGAGTTTGGTTCGTCAAGGTATGTATATACTTGCAACCTATCATCAACTAGTACACAATGACAAATATATAGTCTAATGAACTATATCCATTCCTCTCTCCCATCTTTACAGATTCCAAAGGGAATGGAGAACTCAGATTTGTAGAAGCATATGGTAAGAAAAAGTCTCCCTAATCTTTAAGACACAATGGTCTTTTGGGTTGTTTGAGGTTTTATCATCCACCTAAACACTTTCTGGGTTTTGTTGTGTCTGTTTGACCCACTGCATCTTGATGATAATGTTCATCAGTGACTGATTAAAATACCTTAAAGAACTCGAGAAACTCTTGGCTGGTTTCTTACCATGTTATCACATTTGTCAAATGCAGAACTAAAAGAAGGGGAAAAAGAAGATGTTGCCTTTAAGCAGGTACTTTCTTTACGTCCATAATTCATGACTACACACGTTCTTCTTTGGGTAGAGAGGTTCAAAACACCAAGATGTGGATTTTAGCAACAAACTATGAAAGACTGTACTCTTTCTAAATGTATCAGAGTCCTCTCAAAGAGCCAACAATCCTATGGTTTTGGTTACACTCTTTATGGTTAACTATGCAGGCATGGCTGCTGTACTTTTGGGCAAGAGCCAAGTTGCTCGGTGTAGAAGAAGACATAGCTGAAGAACGTCTCCAGTTTTGGATCAGCCGCAGCGGAGGAGCAACATCTCCAACCTCTCACGACGCCGTCGACGGTAATAATAAGCTTCTTTAAACTGAAAATCCCAATTCTAATTCCAATATATCACAATCACACTAGAGACTAAACTTGTGTCTTAACACAGTGGAACGAGGTTTGTTAGAGCTAAGGAAACTAGGAATAGAGCAACAACTATGGGAAGCTTGTCGCAAAGAAACCGAACACCTTCAACTAACATCTTCTTCTCCTACCTCTACTCTCGCAACTCACAACCTCGACACTTAATTATCAAAAACTGTATTGGAGAAACATAAAGTTATTGTAGTAACATCTTTCAAGTCTGAAACCAAACAACAAGAAAAGAAAAGCTAAAAGTCTAACCATTTCTGAAAATAAACACAAGTCATAGGAGAGATAAGACCATCAGGTGTACAAATCCCTATATGAGGACAAACCCCACAAGGAACCAAAGCAAAAGCTCCATCTCTCGCTTCACCACCACCACCACCACAACCCTTCTTCCCAGTCAACTTATAACAAATCTCACCAATCCTCGTAGCCGAAAACCCACTAAGCCCATTACTCTTCACCTCCATAACAACATTATCCAAAACCAAGTTCTTAAGTATCTCCCTAATCTGCTCTCTACTCAACTGATCCCCATCACCACCATCCTTATCAAAATACTTATAAACAACATCAAGAGTAACAACCTTCTTAGCCCTCTCACACCTCTCGAGTATCTTCACACAAATCTCCTTGAGCCCTTCGATCTTGGAGACGTCGAGGGCTCCGTCTATGTACCAGTCACCGCCCGTGAGCTCCTTGCAAGGCTCGAACTCGACGGCGAGGAAGTGTTTGATGCCTTTGTTGTTCATGTTGGGGACTTCTTTGATGAGTTTGCTCTTCTTGAGGGAAGTGATGGCTTTTGTGATGAGGGATTGTTGGATGCTTGTGGCTGATCTCATCTCCGAGGTTGTTGCTCCCTTGCCTTGCTTGCTTCGGATTAGGCCCAGGATGTTCTTCTCGTCTTCGTTTATTCCGGAGGATGATGATTTTGGCTCTGGTCGTTTTCGTTTACTCATCTTCGCCTAATAATCACAATGAGACAATAAAAAAAGACACGAACTAATGTTGGAATTTGAGACAGGGGAAGGAGATTTTGTGAAGGGTAGATTCAATTTACCTTGAGAGTCGTAAAGATGGAAGCTTTGAGAGAGTGAGGAAGTGAGAGGAGCGCTCAGAGAACGGAGAAGCCGACGGTGTTTGAAAGACGAGGATTGTCTTGTAAGAGAGAATCAACCCTAGTGGTTTTGGAATAAATAGTAATTAAAGTTGAGTGATATTTTCGAATTAAACACTGAAGTTTAGCTGAATTATGACTTTTTACCTAAACTTTTATTGATAAAAGATGTACAAGATTGGTGGTGTTTTGTGGGAGATTGGTAAGTGTTGTGAGTTGATTTGCAAATCTATTATTTTTTCACTTTTAATTATGCTTACCTCTATTAAAAAAATCTATATCTATAAATTTTTTTTTTAATAAAATATTTTGACTATAGAAATCAAAACAATTTTTTAATAACAATACTATTCAAGGAAGAAAATGACCAAAATAAATTTTTATTGAATGATAAATATACACTTATACTTTTGGGTTAACTAATCTATAATTATGATTTAGAGTTAAGAGATGAGTTTTTGGATTTAGAATTTTAAATTTTTTAAAAATAAAAAATAATATTATACATTTCAAATAAAATGAAATTATTTTGATCATTTTATTAGGGTTATTTTGTGATAGAAAACTTAAAAATGGTTATTTGAAAAAATTCCCTTAAATTTTAAAGGCAAAAAAACTAAAATTGTTGTTTATACCAATCAAATCCTACATTGGTGTTAAATTGGTGGGTAGTAATAAATAAAAGAGCTTTTAAGTGTAATTAAATACACGATGAGGGTCTTTCCTACAATTTTAAAATTTAAAATATCCCGTCTTCTCTCTTCCTCGGGGAATCTATACCTTGCGACTTCCGGCAAAGCTGACATTTGAAGAAAAAGACATTTCGAAAGAACTAAAAAAAGCAAACTTTTTTTCTTACAATGGCGGAAACTGAGAAGAAGCGAGATCAAACATTTCCTCAGGTAAGAAAGATCCTTACTTTTCCCCCCAATTTTCATTTCATACCCCTAATTTAGTAATCTATCCATCATCATCCCCACACCTTTTGAGACTCATCATTACACCACATTCCTCTTTAAAGACAGCCAGATTTTGATTTTTCCTTTTGAGATCTGATATGATGATGCTCTCACAGGAGAAGGACGAGGAGAAAGATCTCGACCTTAGCCACGACGAGCACGAGTCTCCTCTTCCTCTCACCGTCACTTCTCGTGTAACTTTCTTATACTCTCTCTCATTGGCTTATGAAACTTTTAATCAAATTTGGGAGACTTTGTTGTAGGTACTGTACATGTTAGGAGACATAGCAGCAGGTCCAGCTTATCGGTTCACCCAATGGTTGGATTTAGTTCGTAAACGCAGTGCTACTTACGGCTCCTCTGGCTTCCCTCACCGTCTTCACCGTCTCGATGATATGGTTTCTAGGTTTCTATTTTTGTTAATTATGTTTTTTTGGAATCTTTATGAGAATCAGACAGAGTTTTGGTAATAATTGACAGTTGGAAAGATTGGTTAACGGTTTTTTAAGTGTTGATGTTATTCAGTGCAGGAGAGAGGAATGCTGATCCAAAAAGTCCACCATGTAAGGAGAGTTCTGAGATTAGTTTGTGGGAAAGGCTTGGCAAAGCTTCTATTGTTGATATTGAGTCCAACTCTTTCTCTTGGAGTATGCTCTCTTCACTTCACCATACTGAGCATAGTAGTAGCACTGATCATTCTGAAGAGGACCAGAGTAAACCTCTCGAGGTATATATATATCATTAGTATGGTCTTTGGATTCTTAGCTTCCATTAATATAAGATCTTTGCATTATATTGTAGATGAATTTTTTTATATGTTTTTTTGCTGGTTTCATTCACAGGTTACTGTGAATTCTGGAGGAGTTGTTTTCTTTGCCCTGTTTAGTCATTCCAGTTCTGAAGATCCTTCTCGGAAGGAAGAAGCTGCAGCAGTTATTAAATTTGCGTCCTCGAGGATGGCCACACAGTCAGAACGTCTAGGTTATGAGTTTGCTAAGTGGCTAGGGGTGCAGATTCCGCAGGTGCCTCTTCTGTTTTTTTTTTTTTTGCTCATTCCACTCACTTTCGTTTTCTTTAATGAGTGACTACTATCATGCGACAGGCTAGAGTGATTCATAGCTGTAATCCTGAGTGGACATTGATCAAAGAAGCAACTGAGAAAGCACAAGCTAAAGCGAATTCAGAGGGAGATGAGGTTGGTGAGGTGACTTGTTCAGAACTTCTGGAAGCTCTTGAACTTAGTCGTTGTCTTCTGCTAATGAGGTGAAAGATTCATATTTCTTCATTTTTTTATTTATTGGTTTAACTAGATAACAAACCCAATCATGTCACCATGTTAAGATTAAGTGATTATAAATTATGTGAACATACCATTTATTATTAGGGGGAAGTTTTCAAAGTTTTATGTTATTAGATAAAAGATTGATAAAATAGCAAATATGTAAGATACAATAATGAGGTGGAATCATTTTATTGGGCCAAATTTAAACAGACATTTGGTAAAAAATCATCTTATTGATTAGTTGGTATTAATAGTTTAACAGAGATTTGTCTTTGCCTCAATGGATAATATAGGCATTGACCTTATCCCACACATTCATATCATATGTCCAATTTTATTGGTATGTGATGTTTGTGTAACATCCCTCTTCTAAGCACTGCTATTCTCAATTGGTTTATTGCAGCTATGTTCATGGATGTCCATTGCTAGAGAGCATGAGTAGTTTCGAAACCGAAGAAAAAGCAGAGAGAGCTGCTTCAGCGTTAGGGAGGATCTTGGTGTTAGATCTTGTAATAAGAAACGAAGACAGATTACCCTGTCGTCAGTTGAGATGGCGTGGCAACCCTGCAAACCTGTTACTAACAGATAGAATCATGTCATCAAACAAAAATCTAGAATGCTCATTTGAAGAAGCCTTTGATTCCGCCATCAAACGGTACCATCCTAGAGACTACAGATCAATGCAGAAGGAGAGAAGAGCTTCTTCTGTAGATAGCAGATCTAGATTGAGTGTTAGTGATCACCGTTTGGTCTCACAGTCTTCTGACTTTTCTGATATAACTGAATCCCCTAGATCATATGACACTGAGTTCATGAGTCCAATGTCTGATACATCAATGGCTCCTGAGTTTCACATTGTTACCATAGACTCTGGTGTTCCACGGCGTCCTCCTGCTGGCAAACGAGCAAGCGACCAAGAAATCTATCCAAGATTAGTTGAGCTGCTTCTCAATAGTAGCCAGTACTCTTCAAATCTGTTATATGAAATAACAGAAGGAGGTTTAGGCTGCCCTCAGGCAAAAGATGGTGAAGAAACATGTAATGTTCGACCTACTGTAGTGACACCAGTTGTGCGTGAGTTTCGAAATGGCTTTCGTGCTGGTCTCAGGGACTTGCAAGAGTTCCATATATTCCTCGTCACCCTTCATCAGAAACTAGATGGGTTGCTACGTGCGTTTTTCAGTATGATGGACAAAACAATGTGTGCAGATTTCGAGAGAGATGACTTTGCTGTTCCTGAGTCTCCATCACAATTTTTTGGCCATGATGTGAATCATTATCCATCTCCTTCGAAAGAACGTGTGCCTAGTGATACTAGCTTTGACCACAGTGAGTCAGATTTGCACAAATCAGTTCCTAGGACACCAGGCTCTGAAAACAAAGAAGGGGGAGATGCAACTTCGCCTAAGTCACGAGAGAGTTGGCATGGGAGATACAATAGAGGTGGAGAGTCTCTTAGTAGTCAGCGTTTAGCAGCAAAGCTCCGTGATTTTCATAAATTTGCAAAGGTTCTTTGATCACTATATTCTAATACTAAAAGCTATTTTATCTTCCTTTGGTCTGATTCATTACATGGTGCGTCCACAGGTTGATGCGGAGTCTAATAAAGAATTAGACCAATGGAATGAAACATTAAGGAATGAAGTTATGAAACTCTGCCAAGAGAACGGTTTCAACACTGGTTTCTTTGAAGGGAGTGATAATAACAGTTGCACTGATGCTTACGAGCTTAAGGTATTATGAGTTTCTCTTCTTTTTTCTTTCACTTGTTCATAAACATTCTCTCTTACTTACATTCTACATCATAACAGGTTAGACTTGAGCATATTCTTGAGAGGATATCATTGATTACCAAAGCAGCTAATACAGAGAAACCATCAATGATACAAGATAATCTTTTTATTGGTGGAGGATTGGCTGCAAGGTCTGTTTACACTCTTCAGCATTTAGGTATAACTCATATTCTATGCTTGTGTGCAAATGAAATAGGGCAATCAGATACTCAATACCCGGATCTTTTCAAGTACAAAAACTTCTCAGTAAGTAAACAGCTTCTTGTTTGTTCTCTCTTGATTGTCACCACAATGCATCCGTTAAAGTAGAGTGTTCTCTTCTTGTGTCTTGCTTTTGACCAGATAACCGACGATGAAGACTCAAAGATTGAAGGCATCTTTCAAGAAGCTCTTGATTTTATCAACCATGGTGAAGAAACAGGCGGCAAGATTTTAGTTCATTGCTTTGAAGGTCGGAGTAGAAGCGCAACCGTAGTGCTTGCCTACCTAATGCTCAGAAAGTAAGTTCTTGGGCCAAGTTAAAACTGTTGTAAAGCAATTCAAGAACTGAAGATTATTCAATGTTAACAGGAACCTGACGCTTTTAGAAGCGTGGAGCAAACTGAGAAAAGTTCATAGACGAGCTCAACCGAACGACGGATTCGCCAGGATCTTAGTTAACATTGACAAGAAATGTCATGGTAAGGTGTCAATGGAGTGGAGACAGAGGAAACCAACGATGAAAGTGTGTCCTGTTTGTGGTAAGAACGCAGGGCTAAGCAGCAGTTCACTGAAACTGCATCTCCAGAAAGCTCACAAGAAACTGTCTTCGGGAAGCGTAGACAGTGCAATGAACATGGAGATACAGAAGGCTTTGGAGGCTCTTAAGCTCAGCACTGGTCGTGGCTCAAGTGCTAGTTCCAGTTCTTTTCAGTCTCTTACTGGTTAGAGAGTCGGTTTAGTATCTATCAACGGTTTGTCCCGGTTAAAGTCTCTAATGAGAACAATCTTTCAGTTTTTGAATACTTGACCTGTTTTCCTTTTGCTGTAAGGATCTCTTTTGAACTTCGTATACAACTAAATAAAAAATGTTTGATTGGAACAGGATCTTTCTGTATTTAAACAATGGAACTTTGTTTATTTATAACATCTTGTAATAACATCCACAACACTTCTTTATATGAATGAATGGTATGATTGTATTATGCTCAATAAATTCTTTGATGTCAAAAAAAAACTTATCTTCTTTAATATCCAGGTTTTTATTTGATCATCAACATGTACTAAATAGATATGAACTCAAGGTTATTTCTTTAACGCTCTAGTTCTTTATTTTTTCTAGAGAACACCTTTTCAGTTTTTGAATAACTTTATTTCTCTTTTTTTTTTTTTATAATTGGTACCGTACCGTATACAACTAAATAAAAGTCTCTTTAACTGGAACAAGACGAAAACTCTTCCTCGCTAAAATAAATTTCTGCCTAGTCAAGTCAGGTATGCAATCATTTTTGTTTAACATTTGTAATAACATCTTGTAATAACATCCACAACACTTCTTTATATGAATGAATGAATGTTATGATTGTATTATGCTCAATAAACTCTTTGATGTCAAAAAAAAAAGTTATCTTCTTTAATAGTATCCAGGTTTTTATTTGATCATCAACATGTACTAAATATATATATGAACTTAAGGTTATTTCTAGGGCTGGGCAATCGGGGTCCCAATCGGGTTTCGGTTCGGGTTCATTCGGGTTTCGGGTTTTCGGGTTCATTAATTTCAGCTCCATTCGGATATTATAAAAATTCGGGTCGGATTCGGTTCGGATTTAGTCGGGTTCGGTTCGGGTTTAGTAACATGTCCAAGATCCGGTTGAACCCGAAATAATTTTGGTTTCGGATACTAATCGGGTTATCGGTTCTAAAAATACTAATTTATACTCAATTAAACTCACTATATTTTCAATCATTTTATTAAATTTGTGTATTTAGCTTCTACAAACCATATTGTTCTCCTTCAAAATAATATTGTGAAACTCGTCTATCAACCAAATAAGATTTGTCATTGAACAATATGGTTTAGCATCTACAAACCATATTGTTCTCCTTCAAAATAATATTGTCATGATTAATGACAAACCAANTTATTAAATTTGTGTATTTAGCTTCTACAAACCATATTGTTCTCCTTCAAAATAATATTGTGAAACTCGTCTATCAACCAAATAAGATTTGTCATTGAACAATATGGTTTAGCATCTACAAACCATATTGTTCTCCTTCAAAATAATATTGTCATGATTAATGACAAACCAAAACCTTGTATGAACGAAATATTATACATAATGAAACATAAAAAATTAAAGCAACAACTAACAATTCTATAAACGTAAGAAGTACTATTTAGACTTAAAAAAAACAACATTATAGTAACTTCAAAACAAATTTATTCGTAACTTAACTTCAAATGTATTGTCAATCATAAACATTAATAATAACCAAATAACACTATACATTAGACTAAATATTTGAGTTAATTATTTATATCATAACTAATTATTGTAGGTACTCAATAATATATTATTATGTTTTGGAAAACATATTAGAAATTTACATTGGATATGATACAAGAGTTTTAAAGTTTCGGGTTCTTTCGGATATCCATTTAAGTTCGGGTTCGGTTCGGGTAATACCCATAACCCGAAATACCGTAAAACAAGATCCATTCGATATTTATGTCGGGTTCGGATCGGTTCGGATTCCTTTTTATTGGACCGGATTCGGTTCGGATTTTTGGGTTCAGTTTTTTTGCCCAGATTCAGTTTTTGAATAACTTCATTTCTCCTTTTTTTTTTAATTGGTACCGTACCGTATACAAATAAAAATCTCTTTAACTGGAACATGACGAAAATTCTTCCTCGTTTAAATAAATTTCTGCCTAGTCAAAGTCAGGCATGCAATCATTTTTGTGTAGATAACAAGATACTGTAGTTATTTCAATATTTAAATAACTTAACACCACTGAAGTCACACAGAAAATCATCCCAGCCATGAACCTCCAAGTAGAACCAACCAAGAAGAAGAGGAAGAAGGAGAAGACTTCACCATCTGCATGTCCATCGTTTTCTTTACTTCCTGACGAAATCACCGTGAACTACTTAGCTCGGATCTCGAGAGCGTACTACCCGAGATTCTCAATCATTTCCAAAAGCTTCCGCTTACTCCTCTCTTCCAAGGAGCTCTACGCAGCTCGATCTCACTTTGGAAGCACCGAGCAGTGTCTCTACGTCTGCCTCTCCGGTGGTGATAGTAACCAATCTCCCCAATCCCAATGGTTTACTCTCTGGATTAACCCTAACCAAACCCTACCAAACTCCACGATCAAGAAGAAGAAGAAGAAGAAGAAAACCCTCAGAGCTCTGGTTCCATTGTCTGATTTTCCTGCAGTATCCGAATACATCCTAGTTGTTGGTTCTGATTTTACTTTTGGAATGCGTACAGAACATATGCTTATGACACAAGCCAAGATAATTGGGAGAGTATTGCGCAGTTTCAGGAGTCAAGAACATGTTTGATTGATGGTGGTGTAAATTACATTTATATTCCAAAGTCAGCTTGTGTGATGGATGGTGTATGGTATTGTATAAGACATGGTCACAGCTTCTGCTCATGGTCAAAGAATGGAGGAGATTGGGAAGCTGTGAAAGGGTTAGATTCACTAGCAGAGATCGATGCACCATCGGAACGGTGGCTCCAGTGACAATACAACTAAGTTGGTTAGTTGTGGTGGGAAGCTCTTTCTTATCTGGGAAGGGTATATGAAACATAATCCCAGTAATAGGAAGAAGATATGGTGTGCGGAAATCACGTTGGAAACGGATGATGAAGGTGAGGTTTGGGGGAATGTTGAGTGGGTTGATGTTGTGCAAAGCGTTCCCACACAATCTGCGCTCTTGCATTGTCTCGTTGTCTCCGTTTGATTGGCTTGTGTCTGAGTTGGAGAAAAGGAGAAGGAAGCAGAAGCAAAAGGAGAGCAACAAGGGTGAAGGGGAATAATTAAATTCAAGGATATGATGAAGGTGACTTTTATGAAGATTAAGTTTTATATCATTTTGTCAAACTAGCTACGGAAACTTAGTATTTGTCTTTGATATATATTTATCTAAGCCTTTGATTGATCAGTATTGTAGTAGATTAGTACTCATTTTGGTGACTTATGTGTTAATGCTAGGACTGAAACACAATTTCAAATTGTATCAGGCTTATAAAGTTTGCAGGGTTTTTAATTTGAGCTCCTACTTTCACTGAAACAGAGAAAAAAAAAACATAGAGAATAGAACAATCTGTTATGTTAGCTGCATGGTGAACATTTCAGTGTGTAACAATATAGTGAACAATTTCAAGCATGCATGATTCTATGGAAGATATCCTTTGATTGACCCTTATGGGATCATCTCTCTCAGAGCAAACAACAACTATTTTCTTTGCCTCATAAACCAACACAAAATTCTCGTGGAATAAATCTTTCATTACGATCAAAAATATTTTACATTTTGAATCAAGTTGTGTTTTGAGAAAGTGAAAATCATATTCACCAATAAGCATATTGTAACTGATGTTATGTTTCTTGGGAATCATGTTCCTTTTTTTTTACAAGCATAATGTAAGTGGTGACATGTTTCTTGGGAATTATGTTTTTCCACAAGCATATTGTAACTGATGTCATGTTTCTTGTGCTTCAAGAAAATGCCAAATAAAATTAATAATTTGGTTATTTAAATAAATCAAAATGTTATGTTTATTTATAGGATGATATGTGTGCATATTGTTTTAAAAAAGTATCTTAAAGTATCAAAGTACTCTAAAGATATAACTTGTCAACAAAACGAGGTCGTGCAAAGAGGAAGAGGAGAGTCTTTAGGCCTCGTAGTTATATATATATTGTGGGTATTGGCTTTGAGAATATTGACTATTATTTTTGTTCTTAGGTATTTCTGCATTCATGTATTTAGAGCATTTCCGATGGTAGTTTTCTATCGTGGGTTCTCAAGTTATATATTTGTGCAAGTATATATAACTAATGTTAGAAAGTTCCAAAAACATATATAATGAAAGTAATGAATCGTTGATAAAAAAATGAAAGTAATGAATCTTGAACCAGAATCATGTGTGTGGTTTTATTTTGTTTTACTTCCTTTTTCGCATAATAGTAAGAACACATCTAATGAAGATTCTACCTATTAGAGTTCTAAAAATAAATATATATATATATATATATTGTATATGTGTATGTAGTTGTGGGGTCTACTAAATAGTGTAGATTCTGATCCAAAAGTTTTAAAAACAAAATATTTAAAAATTTTGAATAGAAGTTCTAAACTATTTAGTAGATTCCACAACTACGTACACATATACAATACATACATACACACATATTCATTTTTTAGATCTCTAATGGATAGAATCCCCATTAAAGGTGCTCTTAAAGAACTTCATACTTTGTTAGATTCAAGAATATACCAAATAGGGCTGGGCGCAAGGCGAATACTTGCTATTTTGCGTGTATTTGATACTTGACTTGTCTTGCACGAGTAATAAAACTTCCGACTTGTATTTGACTTGTTAAAAACGAGTACTTGTTATCTCGAGTACTTGATCAAAAATCAGTTACTTGCAAGTTACTTGCCTCGTTTTATTACTTGCTAGTTACGAGTACTTGTGAATTATCTATGTGTATTTTTGAGTATTTAAAAATTAATTACTAAATAATCATATACCAAAAAAGACATGAAGGTTTACTTATTTATTTTACTAAAAAGAACATACAATTACTTTAAATTTTTTTTATGCATAACGAGTTTAATATCTTATTTAAATTAATATTTATATGAAACTAATATCAAATCAAGACAATTATTATTTTTTGCAAGTAACAAGTATTATTATCAAATAACGAATATTTTGTAGAATGAATAACGAGTATTTATAAAACGAGTAATGAATACCAAGTAACAAGGCAAGTACTGAAAAATGAAATCACTACAAGAAAACAGGTGTCTAACGACTACACTATTGGTTGTTAATTAGTCGTAATATGCCATTTACGACCAATTAACATCGAAAACCAATTGGTCGTTATTCGCTAGTCGTAATGCACAATTAGTCATAACGTAGTCGTAATGTTACGACTACAATCATTAGTCGTAACGTAGTCGTAATATTACGACTAAGGTATTAGTCGTAAAATTGAGGTGACACACGTAGTCGTAACGCAGTCGTAAATCTATTAGTGGTTTATTAGTCGTAATAAAGTTAGTAGTTATTTAGTCGTAATGCTTGTAGTAGTTCACTAGTCGTAAACTTTAGTAGTTACTTAGTCGTAATATTACAACTAAGTAACTTCGACAGTTGTTGTCGATTAGTCGTAAATCAAAGACTAATTTACGACCAAATTAGATTTTATTTTTAAATAAAACGATTTTTTAATTTGATTTTTTTTTTTTTGATTTTTAATTCTATTTTTTTTTTAAAAATAACAAATTTTAAAAATATATATATATATAATTATATTTGATTACAATAATATACAAAGTATTCATACAAATTAAAAACCGAAAAACTAAGGTGTTTTGTTGAGGTTCATGTTTTGGAAGAACTCAGTAGAGTGCTGCTCCGCACGTCGATCCATATCCACTTGCTCTTCCGGAGTGGGATCGGGGTTAAAGCTCGGACGTAGAGCTTGCCATGCATTGGCAACCGTCGGGTTTGGGTTCGAGGTCTCCATCATAAGATCGAACATATTCGCCATAGCCTTGAACTTGTCTTTATGCTCGTCTATGACTTTGTTGGCAGCTGCTAGTTCCCGTCGGAGAGAGGAATCTTCTTCTATTCTTGCTGCATGTTCGGCCCTCG